CACTTTCCAGAACCCTTCCCTGCAATGTCAAGAAGAAAATGAGTACTGTTCATTGCACCAAGGAATTTTTTTTTCTTGCAACTCATTCTCATACTTCTTAGAAATCTCAACAACCTATGGAAGAACACTGTGATATACAGGGTGGAGCAAAAGTAGACTTAGAGTTGTAAGTACGAGAAACACAGGTAATTCTTGTTTATTATACTTTTGCTCCACCCTGTATACATATACCAATAAAGACAAATCTACAGGTGTAAGTTTTGGGTTGAATTGTGGCCTCTACCCCCCAAAAATTCATATGCTGGAGCTCCAGTTCCAGTATCTCAGAATGTGATCTTATTGGAAACAAGGCTGCTATAGATATGATCAGTTAGGTCAGCATGAGGTCATCCTGGAGTAGGGTGGACCTCTAATGCAAAATGACTGGTGTCCTTGTAAGGGGAAATTTGGATACACACACATAGCACAGAGGGAGAACGCCAAATGAAGATGAAGGCAGAGATCGGGGTGATGCTTCCAAGCCAAGGACCACAAAGATCCCCAGCAAACTGCCAGAAGCTGGGGGAGAGGCATGGAACCGATTCTTTCAAACAGCCACAGAAGGAAGCAGTCCTGCTGACACCTCAATCTTGGACTCCTAGCCTCCAGAATTGGGAGGTTTGTGTTGTTTAAGCTTTCAAGCCTATGGGCTTTGCCAGGCAGCTTTAGCAAACTAATTCAGTATATACGCACAGATTTTTAACGAAAAAGCCTGTGTGCTCATGTGCCCTATTTGTATGAGCATGTACACAGTCACCCACGGGTGAAGAACCTCAGGTGTCTAACCCCTTGGTTGTCTGAGTTGCAATAGTTGTGGGTACGTGAGGTTAATCACAGGACTAAGGAAATTCTGACTCACAATCCCTAAAAGGCTCAAGTTCCAAATATTGTCATGTAGCCCTGAATTCACTTCAGCTCTGGGAAACCTCAAATCCCAGAGAGAAAGATGATCTGGTTTTCTCTCTCTTCCTTCCAATACAGATGCAGGTATAATTTAATAATAGCGCCCTGCTTCCCAGGTGCAATTAAAAATGGCCTTCATTACTCCTCCGAATGAGTGTGCTTTATAATGCTGCAATCTACAGTTCAATAAAAAAGCAACTACTGCACCCATCACGGCAAAGCTGTAAAAAGTGATCAATGTGCTTTTGGTAGCTCTAGAGGCAGAGAGGGGGAGGAAAAGAAACTTAAAGAAATAGACACAAAATGACTCAGTGCCATGTGAGTGGCTTTAGAAATCCACAGTTCTTCATTTCTGAAACCTTTTATTTCCTTAACTTTAAATGACTCCTTCCCCTTTCACTTAGGAAATAGTAAGGTGGGGCAGTGCCAAAAACAAAGGAGGTGGAAATGGGAGAAATAAATTCAAACGTTTATACAGGGGGAGACCAAAGTCTTGTGCACATGTAACTCTGAGTCCTCTGAACTGTTATACTAAAAAAAAGTGAGTGTGTACATGTATGCATACATGTATGTGCATGTGTGTGAGTGCTTGTGTGTGTATGTGCATGGACGTGTGTGGGTATGCGTGTGAATAGAGCAAGAGAGGGAGAAATTAAGAAAGAAAAAGTGAATCAGAGACATGCTTGTTGGAACAGGAATAATGATTGATATGAGTAACCCAGCATTAAATTGTTAGCTGAACCACAGGTAAATGGTGGGTTGAGGTTCTACTGCAGGAAAGATTCGTTTCCCATGACTATTCATCCACGTCATCGGGACCCAGAAAAGGCATCCTTTTATGTTCACAGGCATGGCTTTCTCCAGGCCTTAAAGTTACCAGTCTTCATCCTTCTTTGCCCCCATTCCCAACCACTCTAACATGGTGATCTGAACAAAATAAAGATTATTGGGTGTCAGGCACAATTTTTAAACGCTGGATATGTATCAAATATTGTTATGGTTGCAAAGGTGAAACACCTGTCCAGTGGGAAGTGGCAGAGACAGGATTTGAACCCAGGCACACAGGTTCCTGAAGACTGCTTTCCAATACACAGTGGTTAAATAACCAAAAGCAATACATACATTGCATGAGGGATGCTTCATTTATTGTCTCGTGTTTCAGACTCCCACTCATCCAATATGGAAAAGCTAGCCCAGCCATATAGTCAGTCAGCCCCGGTTATCAATTTGGGGGATTTAGTTACAGTCTCTACTTTTCTTCCACCTTTATTTGTCATTTTAATGCTCTTCCAACAGCTTCAGAAATAACTTATTGTATGCACACATATATACAGTGTCCCAAAACATGTCTACACACACTTTGAATGATTATAAAGGTAGTGTTTATTAAAATGCCTTTCATTTTCAAAACTGAGCTGTCGGCTATTAAAGTGTGTATACATTTTGGGGGGACACCCTGTATTTTGGGCTTTATTAGCAATCCTTATAAAAATGCTTGCCTGGAGAGAATTTGAATAAAATTTCATTTGGAAATGATTGACATATGCAATCCACCCATCTGATCTCAGTTCCTACAGCCACATAAAATGTTAACAGTTCACTCTAAGGCAACTAGAGTTCACTCTGACACCATTAGAGATTCTATCCACAAATCTCCCCCCTTGCTAGAGTCAGAACAAGGCGGTTCATGGTCTTTCCTACAGATCTTTGCTTTTAACTTTGGTGCTACATTTCGATCCAGACCTAGCTGTTGAGCTGTGTGTCCAAGGTAGAGGTGGTTTTGAAAGAATCCAGTAAAATCAGAACAATTTTGTGTTATCTAAAACACACTACAGCCGTAATCGGTTTGGCTCAGTGGATAGAGCGTCGGCCTGCGGACTGAAAGGTCCCAGGTTCGATTCCGGTCAAGGGCATGTATCTTGGTTGCGGGCACATCTCCAGTAGGGAATGTGCAGGAGGCAGCTGATCGATGTTTCTCTCTCATCGATGTTTCTAACTCTCTATCTCTCTCCTTCTCTCTGTAAAAAATCAATAAAATATATTTTTTTAAAAAATAAAAATAAAACACACTACAGATGCTACGATGACCCTCCATAAAACAGCGCTTAGTGTATCATCTGAACAAAGGTGCAAATATGGAGGCTTCTCAAAGATTCACCCATCCAGCATTAGACAGCTAATCCTTGCTGTCACAGTCTTCTTTGATTAAAACACAGCATGTGCCTTTCAGCATTAGCACTGTGTGAGGTTATTTTAGGGCTATGCCTAATCGAATGGTATTATGTTATGGGTTAGCAGGGCTGAGGGGAAGGAGGCCTGGACTTTGTGGCTCATAGAGTCTGTGTGATCTTCAGCCCTCACTTAGCTATCTCGGTGACCTTCCAACAAGGCAGCCTCTCTCAGCCATGGCTCCCTTGTCCATAAAGCCAGGGTGAGAATACCTACCCTTCTTTGGACTTCATGGGGTGGTTACACACAGATCAAATAAAATGACAGATGGAAAAAGTACAAATTGCTCAGCATCATACAAAGTTAGTACTGAGCCCTGTGGGGAACACAGAGTTAAACCAAATCTACATCCTTTGGTGTAACTTAACTTTTCCATAATAAACTGCTATACATTATTCAGTTTCCAGTATATTTTGTACATTGGAACCATATTTATGAGTTCATTTCAAAGCTTTCTAATTTCAGTTAGACTCAGTGGAAAGCTTACACATTAAAATTTCTCTATAAATCATGTATTTTAATAAAAGTTCAAGTTTGAACTTTTATTAAAAATTTTTTTGAAAGAAGGAAGGTTTAATTGGTAAGAACTGTCTAACTATACACGTTGGGTTGCTTCTATAAACATATTTTTCATGCAGCAGGAAGCTGATAATGCATTACAAAGATTTTGTTAGGCCCGGTAAAATATGAGATCTTTACATGTCTCTCCCCAAAGTCTGAACCTGGAAATACTCACAGGGTCAACTCATTTGGTAGCTAAGTTATAAGATATATGCATTTAATCTCTCTATTGGATTAAACATTTAGCTAATATAATTGTCAGGAAGGTTTTGACATTAAAAATTTACGACTCAAATAAAACTTCTAAGCAGAAGTTCAGGTACTGAGCCACAAGCACTGCAGAATGGAAACTGCTGGAAGGCGGCCAATTCTAAGAACATAAAACTTGTCACCCTGGGTCAGACCAGAGTCTAGTTTCCATCAGACTTTACATCTGACATTGGCATCAAAACATGTCCTGTAAACAGAATTGTCTACCTATGTGACGCTGCACTCAGAGATAGGGGTGTGGTCTGGATGTTGCTGGAAATTGAGAAGCCAGCATTGGGCTTTGCCTAAGTCATTCTAGAATACTCAGCCCTGGCACTTCAGACTGCACAGGTGCTTGGGATAATGAGCTGTGTATGCTAGTAACCCTCGGGGCAGACATTCCATTCCCCTTTATTCGAATTAAACTACCTCCTTGTCGCTTAAGGAGGTGCCCTTTTGTTCCAGCCCCATGGAATTTGGGGACCATCTACACATCTCCCTTCATCCTACAACTCTCCAGTCCTAATCTTTTTGCTCTTTACTTTCTCCAGAATCCACACTATCCCCTTGATCATTTGAGTTGCCCTGATCAACCTATTTTAGTGAATGTAGAGAGAGATTCGGGTCATTCATAAGGGTTCTCCACCTGAAATAAAATAGAGACGTGGCCCAAAACCAAAAATTTCGTTCACCACTTAGGGTGCTCTACTCCTGGCTGTGGCAAGATATTTTGTTTACTTGTAGTGAGTAAAGGAGACAGGGGGCTCATATCCAGAGCTTGCTTCCCTGGAGGGAGGTACAACTACCCTATTTGGTCAAGTACATGTTTTCTTCTTGGTAGTGGGCTACACTTACCAGGTTAGGTGGCTGTCAAACTCACCCTATTTACAGCTGCTCTGCAAAATATTGCGCTACATCTTAACATTTGGCAAGAAGAGCATTTAATAAGAATGGCCCAGACCTCGAGACCCTTGTCCTCTTTAACAATTTCAGTAAGCCTCCCAACTCACAAAATTCCATGAAATCCCAAGTAAACTGACCATCGATGAAACCTCAGCCACAGCTTTCATATTGGTTATGATGGTTAGCTAAGAGCAATTACTTGCTTGGTATCTGTGAAGTGGAGATACATTAATATATAAGGGGGTAAACAAAAAGGAAGAAGGGGGTGATATATAAAAAAGAATAAATTACTAATTTCCCTTAGCATTAGCCATGAACTCCCAAAGTTAATCCAACAATGTCTGTAATCATTGTTCATTATTTTAATAACATCAAAGGCTTATTACTTTCTGGAATTCGACTGGGCAGATTAAAAGAAACAGCCAATTACTTTTCATGACAAAAAGAAAGTATGTCCTATCATATATGGGGGTAAAAGCCTGGGAAATCAAGGAGGAGAAAAAATACACTGAACCTGAACTATACAAGCATAAGGTTTGGCACCCAGACACATACTTGCTAATTGAAAACTTTATCAAAAGTCCAAAGCCAAATAAACGAAGGGTAGGAAAAGAGGAACAGGTGTTGGAGAATTAAGTCCATCCCCTCTTACTGGTGACATAAACCAAGTCATCCACCACAAAATATTACAGGCAAAGGTCCCATTACATCCTGGAAAATAACTGATTGTTTTGTAAGTATTCAAAAGGTTTCATTAAAAAAAAGCAAAATACTGCTTTGCTTAGGATGAATTAGGGTAAAGTTGACTTTCATATTAGCTAAGGCAAAAGGAAGTTTGAGGAGGATAAGATAAACACGGAGAAATTATTTACTTAAGAGAGATTAAACTATTTTCAAGCACTTCAAATCCAGTAACATAATTAGTATACAAACAATGAGCTAATTATTCCCTGGCTCTGGCTTAGCAGAAAGCTCATTTGGGGGAGGGAGATTAGGCAGGGGAGGGGGCCTTCAAAATCGGAATAGCTCAACTCCTCTGGCCATTTTGGATGCAAGAAGTGAACTGATGGAACTACATACCCACTCACTCCCAGGCTACCAGGAAAATATGGCAATCATCACCCAAATCTCCAGCCTTCAGGAGTGAACACGAACCAGGTCCAGACGCAGAGCTGTTTTTAAAAGCTCAGTATCCTGCCCCATCCCAAACTCCCAATTTCTTTTTCCTTTTAAAACTGAAGAGTTAGAGAGAGAGAGAGAGAGAGAGAGAGAGAGAGAGCGAGAGAAAGAGAGAGAGAGAGAGAGAGAGAGAGAGAGAAACAGTGATGAAAAACTTGGGAGAAAACGTGGCTGCAGCACATCTCTAGCAGCTTATTAGGAGCAAAAATTGAGCAAAGAATCAGAGCCGCTCATTAGTGATAATGTCAGCTCCAGAATTAGCTGTGCCATTTCTTCCAGTCTTCCTGCATATTTGTTCACGGTCACACCACAGATTAAGCACTTAACCTGTGCCAGCTGCTGGGAACAGAGATGTCTTCGGACACAGATCTCGCCTTCCCCTTCCTCTTATCTCCCATCTACCCCTTATTATTTTCTGGATGCCTCATTGAGAGATGACAATGGGAAAATTTTCAAAATAAGAATGGGGGGGTATTTATGTTTCAAGATATAAACCACAGAAGCAAAGTAGATCAAGGAAGGTGAGAACATGTGAGTGCTGTAAGCTAATACCCTGTATAATGCCAGGGATCTTCTTGATAGTGTTTTATGATCAACCTTTCTAGGATGGCTGGCTGCTTAGGAATTGGTTACAAACAACGAAAAGAAAATGCCCAGAGTCTACACATAGAAAATAGGTTTAGGCACCAAAGCTCAACTGTTTTCCAAAAGATATTTCCTCCCTACGCAAAGGACGCATCTACATCATGCATTCATCCAGCCAGCCATCATTTGTTTTTTTATTCCTTCATTTGTCTATTCATTCAGCTATTATCTATGGAGACCCTACTATCTGCCAGGCAATGCACAGGCCTTAGGGATGAAAGGGCTTGAGAGAAAAGAAAAGAAAAGGAATGGGAAGGGAAGGGAAAAAAGAGAAGCTTCTGTCTTCATGGAACTTGTAGTTTAGTGGAAGGGGAAAGATGCTATCTAAATAATCACAAAAATAAAGCATTTGTAAACTGTGATAACTGCTATACATGAGCAGTCCAGGAAACCATGCAGCACACAGCAGGTAGCTGGTCTATGTGGAGGAACCAGGGGAGGCTTCTGTTTGAGGAACTCACAGTAGAACGGGGCAGGTGTGGAGACCTGAGAAACGGGAGAGTGGTGATAAAGGTCGCTGGAGGGGCAGGGCGAACCAGATCACACGAGGCATATCAACAATGTAGGGCCTCATAAGATTGTCTTTCATCCAAATAGCAGGAGGGAGCTGTTAGATATTGATGTGTTCTCAACAGTGGAGTCAGAAGTCCAGATTCATGAGTTCAAACCGTACCTTGGATGTTGTACCTATGTGTGTTTCTATGTATGTGTGTGAGTGAATCCTTACATCAGCACGGGGTAGCTCTAGAAGAAACTGATGTTAGTGGTTGCTTCTGGGAAGGAAACCAAGAAACTACAAGCTAGAAGTAGAAGAGAGACTTCACGGTCAGTGTACTCTTGGAACAGAGTGGGAAGGAAAAGGAATCAGTAGCTATAAAGAAAAAGGGGAGGAGGGTCACTAAATTAGAAAGATGCACAGAATTATGGTGGGAAAAACAAAACAAAACAAGATACATATTAAAGAACCAGCTCCATTCCAGCCTGATTTTTGCTGGCTGACCCATAAGGAGAACTCCAAAGTGCAGGAGTGGAAGCAGCCAGCATTCCAGCCAAAGAATTCTGGCTTGCAGGATAAAAACAAAAACAAAACAACTACACCAGGTTTAAGATAACTGGCAAGAGCCAGATACTATCTCTGCAAGCCCTGCTCAGATGTACCTTGAAAGACGGCTGAAGGGAAAGTTTAGAAACTTTCTCCAAAGTGCTACTTTCAACAGCTTTGACCATCTGGGCTAGAAAAGGCCCAAACAAGCAAAATACAAGACCCAGCAAATGCAGGCACAAGACTGTAAAAGGAGAGTGAAGAGGCGGTTTGCAAGGTCAGCATGATGCTGAGCGGCTAATTGATGGGGCTGCGAACCTCCGGCAAAGCAGTTTGGGGCAGAGAGGGGAAAAAAATGCAGTTAAAGGAACGTTATTTTTTTCCTCCCTTTTTAAAAAAAAAAAAAAAATACCACTTCAAAGTGTTGACAATTATGAAACATGTCAGCTGGTAGCGGGAATTCATCATATGAGCCATAAGTGACAAGCAATGAGAACCCGAATCCTGAAACTGGATGGGCTTCAAAAGTCCCTGACAATCACTGCCATAAATCATCCAGGCGTGTCAATCTTTAGCTGGAAGAGGCTTTGCAGACAACAGCAAACATGCAAAACAAAAGCTCCAGCAGAAAAGGGGTGCCACGCTCTGGACGGGAAAGGATGCCACTCTCGTGTCAGCATCGTCTCTTCAGTTAAAGAGGCGGCCGCTGGGCAGAGGTGACGATCAGAGACATCGCCCGCCACTGTCACCATAATGAAAATGCAAGGGACACGGGGGTCAAAGTCGACCACGATCTTCCTGGGGTCCAGGTGGGCTCTACCAGGAGAATTTCAGCCCCCAGCTCACCGGTAATGCCCACGCCCCTCTCTCCAACAGCCTCGGATTCAGTTGAGGTGAGGACTGGGAGGGAAGATGGTGGAGCCACAGTGTTTATTTCATCCGAATCCCCAAGTGAAAGGCTTGGGTCATTACTTTTCATTTACTCCGAGTCTGTGACTCAGTCCTGATACCCATGAAAAAGGGTAATCCCTAGACTCCTTTCTCTTCCAACTGCCCTACTTTTATTTATTTTAATTCAATTAAACACAGCCAACCTGTCTCCTAGTTCTAGGTTTTTAATATAAACTGCCAAAATTTCAAAAGGGTAAAAGAGATCGCTCCTTCAGGTAATATCTATGTCACCCTCATCCAGAGGAGTCTGGTCCATGGGAAACCACTCGTGAGAGAAAAGTCCCCTGAAAAACAGTAGTAGTAAGAAGATTTTCATTCGACTTCCAGCTCCGTCACGCTGCGGTTACAGTCACCTAATTGTTTCTGGGGTCTTCTATCTTTGCGGGGAGGGCAGAGGGGGGAGGGGATGGTGTTAGCTACCAGAGGCAACAGTCATCGGCTGATTCACCTGACGTTTGGGCCACGTCTAACCCCTCTGACAGGCAATTAGTCCCACATTCCAGACAGTGCCTTTTCCAACAAGAAGGTTCATTTGAAACAGAGAAAGCAAGATCTCAGGCACCAGATTGCCCAAAGCAATGACCCAACACACAGCCACAGAAATCTAGTTCACCCAAAAGGGCTCTTCCACCCCCAGACAGGAACCTCAAGTAGGAACAACTGTTTTGCAGTGACCCATCCTTGGGTCCATTGGTCTCATCGGGAAATTAAGAAAGGGCAGGTTTCACCTCATCTTTAAAGAGTGTTTTTGAGTTTACAAAGTAGTTTTTCCTGCCCAGCCTGTGTGGGTCAGTGGTTGAGCCTCGACCTATAAACCAAGAGGTCACAGATTCAATTCCCGGTCAGAGCACATGTCTGGGTTGTAGGCTTGATCTCCAGTGGGGGGCATGGAGGAGGCAACCGATTAATCCTCCCTTTTTATTCTATTTCTCCATTCCTCTCCCTTCCTCTCTAAAAAAAAAAAAAGAAAAAGAAAGAAAAAGAAAAAGCA